CCCACCCTCCCCCTGCACACAGCGACGGCATGGGGCTGCGGGGCTGCCAGCTGGGCGAGGGGCTTCAAACAATACAGGAGGAAAAACCAAACCAGACCTCCACCTCCATAGCCAGCATCAAAGCCAACAAAAGGCACATTTTCCCGTGTCTCGCTTCCCTCCCTGGTACCACTCTTCCCCTGCCATCTTTTCCCCTCCTTCCTGAGCACACCTCTCCCGTCTCCCTTCCCGCTGGAAGATGACGACACCGTAATCGCGAGGACCCCCTCGCCGGGAGGCGGCTCAACGCGGGACTTGGGGACGTGATTGTCTCCTGCCTTTGTGCAGGGTTAAGTGTGCGAGGAGGCAGGGCTTGCAGAAACACACTCGGGCAGAAAATGGAAAGGTCGAAACCACCCTCCATCTCCATCGACGGGCATGTGTGTGCCTGCACCCCTCTCAGCCAGCTCCACGGCTACAGCTAACCCCCAAAGAGCCCCAACCCCCCGACGGGCTGGCGCTGGCCACGCAGGACTGCCTTGAACAGGTCTCAAAGCCCTCGCTCCATCCTTTGAAAGAAACCCTGCCCTGGCTGAATAAGCCAGATAGAGAGAGGGTGAAAAGGGAGGGCAGCTGGTCAGGGGAGCATCACCATTTAACATACGGCTCCCCAGGCACCCTCGCTCACTCGGCACCAGGCCCCTCCAAAGGGGGCTCTCGCCCTCCCTCCCCCGGAGCAGCTCCTCGGCTCAGTGATGGACGGATGCCTCCATTTCAGATCACGCATCTGCGAGCAAAGAAAGGCCGATGGTGAAGGCAAAGCTCAGGCGGCAGGGAGCTCCGGGTCCAAACCCCACTGTCTCACGGACAAGCCCCCGGGTCCCCCTTTGCCCTGCCCTCAGCGTGGCCGGAGAGGACCTCAACGCTCCCCAAAGCCACCCCAGCAGCTCCCGCTAGCATCTGCATTCGGGTACCCCAGCAACACACACAATGCCAGAGTTTTAAGCACGGCACTTTGAGGTTTGTCACAGCTGTCCCCTGCAACACCAAGTTTGCTACAGAGAGGTGGCCCTGGGTTTCAGAAGCCACACCAGAGAGCGCAGGTGTTGGCGGGTGCCACAGCCAGAACCCGGACTGCGCTGTGTGCGGCCAGCAGCAGGGATTTTTAAGAGGCTTCCCCTGGTGCCCAGTTCCATCCCTCCC